CCTTAATTACAGGTCGGAAGGTAAAAAAAAAAAAAAACGTCGGAGTGAAATTTGTGGGAAAAAAAAAAAAAAAAAAAAATTTATTGACGTCATTTACGTAATATTTAATTTTTTTTTTTTTTTTTTTTTTTTACATGTTGGGTTTTTTTTAACTTTAAGTCGTGTTTGTTTGTTTGTTTGTTTGTTTGAATTTATAAACTTTCTTTTTGAATATTTCGAATGGGGTTTTCTTTTTTTTTTTTTTTAAAAAAATGATTATTCGTAAATGATAAATGTTATGTAATGACGTAATGATGTGAGTTTGTTCTTCTTATATGTGTGAGTCAAATTGATAAAAAAAAAAAATGAAACAAATTCGTCGTCGTCGGATTTATGACGTCATCATCATATTTTTAATTAATGATGATTTTCGTCACTTTTTTTCTATTTATTTATTTATTTTAATTGGATTTATTATTTATTTTTCACCTTTAAAACAAATAAAACAAATTCAACTAGAACTAATTAAAACGTTTTCAAGGAAAAAAAAAAAAAAGGAAGATTATTTATTTATTTATTTTGCGATCTGATAAATTTGTCATTGTCATTAATGGAGCAACGATTGTGACGTAATAATAATAATAATAAAAATCGTCATCGAAAAAAATAACGTGATTAAATTAAATAATTAATTGGTCGTCGTGGCAGGAGAATAATTGAACACAAAAAAAACAAAAAATTTTAAAGGCGGTGTTTTTCTTTTTTTGCGTGATGAATATTTTTTCAAAAGTTTTCCCTCTGTAGTCTTTCTCTCTCTCTCTCTCTCTCTCTGTCTCTCTCTCTCTGTCTCTCTCTCTCTCTTTCTTTCTCTCTTTCTCTCTCTATGGTGTGAAAATAAAATTCGAAACGAACATTTGGCAAAATTCGACACATGAAATTTTGCACGATTTTGCGTGTGTGCGTGCGTGCGTGTGCGTGCGTGCGTGTGCGTGCGTGCGTGTGCGTGCGTGCGATTCGACTAATTTATTTTTAGAATTTTTTTTTAAAAAGAGAGGAAAAAGAAAATTTTTTTAAAAATGGAGTTTAATTGAGATTATTACATTGTCGCATTGCATTCTAGATTTTCGGCCAGATTTTTTTTTTTTAGAAAAAAAAAATTTTCGAGAGTAAATCATCCATTTTATGTGCCATTGTCGAATAAATTATTTCACGTGTGAATGAAATGATTTTTTTTTTTTTTTTTTTTTTTTTTTTGTCAATTAAACGTAACGAATTTTTTTTTCGAGTTAGTTCAAAAAAAAAAAAAAATTTGGAAAGCTCTTGCTACCCATCAATCGTCAATAGGTTGTAATTATCGTTATTATTACTATTATTATTATCATCGACAAAAATTTAAGGTATTTGTAGAGGAATTAATGGAAGGTGTAAAGATAAAATAATATAAATTTTTTTTTCTCAGAACATTTGTAATGGATGATGATAATTTCAATAATGGAATTTCTTTAATTTTCGTTCACAAACAAACAAACAAACCAACAAACAAACGAACAAACGAACAGACAATCGTTTAAAATCACCCCCCCCCCCGACAAAAAAATAAAATTCAACAAATACGGAAAAAAATCGGGGATTAATTTTTTTTGTTTTAAATTTAGAAAAATGACGGAGGGGGGGTCGGAAAAGTTTGGAAAAAATTAAAGGGGATGGTTAATTTTCCTGATTACGTCATCGATTTCATTAAGTGTGCGTCATTAAGAAAATTGACATGAATTTTTTTTTATTTTTTACTTTCTCGATTTTTCGTTATTTGTCTCATCGTAAATGTTTCATTCGGAATTCGAATCGTGGTGGGTTATTATTATTATTATTATTGTTGATGTTGTTGTCATTATTATTATTATTATTATTATTATTATTATTATTATTATTATTATTATTATTACTATTATTTTTAAACATAAAAAAAAACATGAAAATGTTCAATAAATAATGATGATGATGATTACTTTCGATTTTACAAATGTTCTCTTCTCCTCTCGTTCCGGAAACGTTTCTAAGCATTCTAAAAAAAAAATTTTTTTTTTTTAAACAAATACTAATATACTTGATGAAATGAGCTGGGGGAGAAGGGGAGGGGAGGGGAAACTAAAGTAATAATGATAATAATAACTCGGTGCGTAGTAAATTTTTACATTTGTTTGTCGATCGTTTGTGAGTTTGTCCGAATTTTTTTCCTATTCGAGGGTAATTAATTTTTATGTACGATTAATAATAATAATACTTAATTAATCGAAATCGAACTACCGCGCCCGTCATGAATTTTTCCTTTTTTTTTTTTTTTTTTTTTTTTAAACGGCAACAACAACAACTTTGGCGAGACGTTTTAAAAGAGAACGTACGCGAAAATGATATTTATTTAATCGAGATGAAACGCGATTCGCGGCGAATCGAAGTTTTTAACTTCGAGAAAAAAAAAAAAAATTTATTTTTATTATTTATTTTTTTTTTTGCTAGTGTTTATTTACCGGAAGACAAGTTTTCGATTGTGTGAATAAGAATGAAAAAAGTTTTTTTTTGACAAGATGAGATGTTTTTGATGAGATTGTTATTTGACGATTGTATTTCTCTATCTATCTCTTTCTCTCTCTCTCTCTGTCGTCATACGTCTTTCAAAAAAAAAAAGAAAAATCATTCATACAAAAAAAAAGAAAAAAAAAAATCACGATTGTGACACGAATAAATGTTTTTTCGTAAGGCATGTTAAGAGTCTGACTCGTATCATTTAAATTTATCAGTTTTCCCATTAAATACTAAAGATATCAAGTGACTTACCTTGTAAATAAAAAAAAAAAAAAAAAAAAGTTTTTTTTTTTTTGATAAAATTCCTTAGACCACCGAGGGGGGGGGGAGGGGGAAAGGAAGACTTTCAGTGATCTATTTTTTTCTCCCCTTTTTTCCGCTTTTTTTTGAAAACTTTATTCACTCGGTCAAATCCGACAACGATCACAGTCGATTCAAAAAAAAAATTTATTTATTTATTTATTTTTCCTTATTCCAAAATAATTTTTTACGGTAACTTTTAAACTTTTCAAAAACAACAACAACAACAACACAACAACAACCAATAACAAACACGAAAATATTAAAAAAAAAAAAAAAACCGTACGAAAAATAAAATAAAAATAAAAAAACTTTAAATTTTTTTCACAAATAAATAAATTAATAAACAAAGTCCGTTTGAAAGTTTTTTTTTTTTTTTTTCTATCTCTATCTCTCTCTATCTCTTTCTCTTTCTCTCTCTCTCTTTCTTCAAAGCGGAAAACTTTTTGCACGCACTTAAAAATAATTTTTTTTATTTAAAAAAAAAAACTTTAAAAATTTGATTTATCGATTTGTTGTTGTCACTATTACTTGTTTTTTTTTTTTTTTTATAAATAAATCTTTCACTAAAAATTAAATTAAATTAATAAATAAATAAATAAATCAATCGAAAAAAAACTTTATTGTAAATATTTACACTTATGTATAACGCACGTCAATAAGTAAATATCTATGTATTTATGTATTTATGTATGTATGTGAGTATGTTTGTTTGTTTGTGTATATATATATAAATGAATGTTCGGTTAGAGTGGAACTAACAACAACGATCGAAGGACTTGGACGAGAGACGTGGAATTAAAATACGCGTAGTTTTTTTATATCCTTTACTTGCCACGACAATTTGTAAACTGACTGACTGACTGACTGACTGACTACTATTTAAGAAAAAGAAGTTCTCTCTTTTACGATGTGTTTTAGAGTTAGAGGAAAGATTGTGGTTAACTCCAACAAATAACATGATTCATTCAATAATTAATTAATATTTATAAAATTTTTTTTTTATAAATAAATATATATATTCGTGTAATTAATTAATTAATTTTTTTTTTTTTACGCGCGTTTTTTGTTAAGTTTTCACGCGTTGGCAACGATTACAAATTACTTTGTTATTATTGTCGTTTTTTTCGCGTTTTTTTTTTTTTCGCGTGTTCGTTAAAAATTCGTTCGATTTTGAAAATTGGCGCGCTTTTTTTTTTTTCTCTTTCGGGGCAGCATTTATTTTTACCGCCATTAACGAGAAAGATGTGATAAAATGAATTTTGTAGTTGTTGTTGTTGTTGAGAGAGGAATGCGCGCCTAAAAAATTTTAAAAAAATAATAATAATAATAATAATTTGTTTTTTTTTTTAAGTGCATTGGAGACATATTTGAAATTTCCATTAAGGTTTAATAATAATATTAGATAGTAAAATGGAGAACCAAAAAAAAAAATTTATATATAAATTAATGGCGTTTGGTTTTTTTTTTTTTTTTTTTTTTTTGGAAAGGAATTCGTTATTAAAAAACGATTGTTTCTTTTTTTTTTCTTCCTTTCTTTCTTTCTTTCGTTATTAAAAATAATAATGATGATGATAGAATTATCAATGGATTTTTAAATTAATTTTTAAAATTAATTTCACCGCTTTTTTTTGTTGTCATAATTTCATCACATTTTACACATTCTTACGTAACGGTTAAAAAAAAAAAAAAAAAATTTTCTTTACCGCGTATTTTACGTTTTATATAATTTCTCCCCCCCCCCCACCCCTACCCGGATTTCCTTTCCCTTTTTTTTTTTTTTTTTTTTTTTTTTTTTACTTAAAACGGATGTTAAAATGTCGGTAGAGAGTAAGTCGATTGATCGAATAAAAGGAAAAAAGGTAAAAAGAAAAAAAAAATTAAATATTTGTTCACGTCAAAGTAAATATTTGCATTTTGTATTGTTCTGTCGCGATATGTCAAAAAAAAAAAAAAAAAAAAAAAACATGGCGGAAACTCGACGATCTACGTCGTAATCACAAAAAAATTAATTTTTTTCGTATTTTTTTTCAGATGAGATAATAATAATAATAATAATAATAATAAAAGTAATAGATATTGTGCAGAGTGTTGTCAAAAAATAGAAAAAAAAGGATTCGTCGAAGGATTGTGTTATTTATATGAAAATGAGCGGAAACAAGGTGAAACCCATTTTTCGAGATCTCGATCCGGAAGATCCCGAACCGGAAGCTACGAAAGTCGAAAGTCTTTGCGTAAATTGTCAGGAAAATGGTACGACTCAAATACTTCTCACGAAAATTCCATTTTACAAAGAAGTCGTTTTGATGTCATTCGAATGCCAACATTGCGGATATAAAAACAACGAAATACAACCCGGGGGTACGTTGGAAGAAAAAGGGATAAGAATCACATTGACGGTGAAATCGGTGAAAGATTTAAATCGGCAAGTTTGCAAATCGGATTACACTTGCGTCAAAATACCCGAATTGGATTTCGAAATACCTTCCATGTCGCAAAAAGGTGAAATCACGACGGTCGAGGGTATAATAAACCGGAGCGTGGAAGGTTTGGAACAATCGCAAGACGAGAGGAGAGAAAAAGATCCGGAAAATGCGGAAAGAATCGATTCGTTTGTTAAAAAATTGAAAAATTTAAAAAACGTCGAGTCTCCTTTCACGATGATAATAGAAGACATAAGCGGAAATTCGTTTATAAGTAATCCTCACGCACCTGGAAAAGATACGGAATCTGTGACGACTTACTTCGTCAGAAACAAAGATCAAGATCACGCTTTGGGAATATATAAACAAGATGAAATTTTAGATGCCGTGGGAGAAGAAGGGGAGGAAGTGGAGGAGGAATCCGCGGGAGTTTTAAAACCCGCAAATCCCGAAGAATATTCATACGAAAAAATGATACAGGAAGTCATGCAGTTTCAAACGAATTGTCCGGATTGCAATTCTCCCTGTGAGACGAACATGAAACTGACCAAAATTCCCTATTTCAAAGAAGTTGTCATAATGGCGACAAATTGTGACGTTTGCGGTCATCGTTCGAACGAAGTCAAATCCGGCGGCGGAATCGAACCCCAGGGAATAAGAATTGAGCTCACGATATCAAATCCCAAGGATTTAACGCGTGACATATTAAAATCGGAAACGTGCGACGTAACGATACCCGAACTGGAGCTGGAAATGGGTCCGACGACGTTGGGGGGACGTTTCACGACCGTCGAAGGGATATTGGTAGCAATGAAAGAACAAATAGCGGAATCAAAAACTCTTTTCAAAGACAGTCAAGATCCGGAAATAAAAAAAAGAATACAAAAATTCACGGATGATTTCGAAGAATTGATGACGTTGAAAAAACCGTTCAAATTAGTTTTAGACGATCCGGCCGGAAATAGTTACGTGCAAAATTTAATGCATCCGAATCGGGATGAAAGTTTAAACGTGATCAAATACGAAAGAACATACGATCAAAACGAAGAACTCGGTTTGAACGACATCAAAACGGAAAATTACGAAACGGCCGAATAATAATAAACAAAAAAAAAAATTTTCTTTTTTTCAAAATGATTGTATGATAAAATAAATTTTCTTTTTTTTTTTTTTTTTTTTTTTTTTTTAAAAAAAGTACTCCGTTTATTTTTCATTTGTCATAATTTATTACTTAATAATAATAATAATAATAATAATAATTTGGGTTTTATTAAATAATATAAAATTTTGTTATTTTTATTGTTAAGAAATATGGTGAAAACAAAATGGCGTCGTTCCTATTATGAATTTTTTTTTGTTTTTATTATTTTGCAGTGCTGTAAAAATATTAATGTATTTTTTTCAAGTTTAAATTTTTTATCAATAATACTTGATTGCATTGATAACGACGAAGGTTAATATGTAAAAGGGCATTGGGGGGGGGAGGAAGGAGGTCGACTCAATTTTGGGTGGGCAACAACTGGATTGTACAATTGTAGCCTTTTGCTAACGCTTAAAGCTACGATTGTAAATTACATATCAACATGCCTCCCATTTTCCCTTCCCTCTTCCCCTTCCCATCCCCCTCCCCTCTCTTTACTTTTATTACCGCATAATTAATTTTTTTGAAATTTTAACGGAAAATTTTGTTTTTGCTATTTAACCGTTTTTTCTATTTTCAATATCAAAAAAAAAAAAAGCGGAAAAGATATTTGACGATGCCTTTTTGATACGTGTAGTAATTTTTGTTTTTTTTTTCTTAGGTTGGTAATACATGTCATATCGGGGGTTCTTAGAAGAAATTAAGGGCTGTCATTGGATAAAACGTTAGAGGTCAGTGAATTATTAATAATTATCGGTTTATTTTAAATACCCGATTTTAAGTTTTTTTTTTTTTTTTTTTTTTTTTACGTAAACGCAGTACCGGGTTCAGGATAATAAGATCGTTAAATATATTTTCCGGCTTGAAAAAATAGAAAAATTTTCAGTAAATTTAATTATGAAAAAAAAAAAAAAGAAAAAACCTTGAAACTGTTTTTTTTTTATTTAATTATTTAATTAATTTTTGTTGTTATTTTAATAGTTTACGTATGTTTGATGTTTTTGTGCGTGTGTGTGCGTGTGTGTGCGTGTGCGCATCGTTCTATTTCGAAGCAGGGTTATTTAGTATTACTATTTTTTTTTTATGTTTTCCCATCAGCAACAGAGAAAATTTTTTTTTTTTTTTTCTGTATTGAATATGTTAACCTCGTTTTTAACACATAAATTATTTTTAGTTTTTTGGTGATGGTGGTGGTGGTGGTATACATGCTGGCGCGGATTCAGTTTTTTTCCCTTTTTTTTTCCTATGGGATGAGGAGGGGTGGGGAGGCGGGTGGAAAGAGGGTACGGTTAATTATATATCGAATTTTTTTTTTTTGGCTTGCAATTAAATTTACGTCAATTGCAACTGTGTAATTATTTATTAGACTTTGATTTCAGACCAGTTCTTCATCTTCTTCTTTTTTTTTTTTATTGGCAAAATCATTTAAAAAAAAAAAAAAAAAAAAACGTTTAAGTAACTAAACCGAACGTTTTAGGTTTTTTTTTGGTTTGGTTTGGTTTGGTTGGTGGATTTAAATTATGTTGGGTTTAGTTTTGGTTTTTTTGTTTGTTGTTTGACGTTTCCAATGATTTTCCTATCGTGTATGGTGGTATTTGTAGCATTGACCTTAGTTTTAAATTGACCGTGACCAATGATTTTTTATATGGAAAAACTTTTTTGTTACACGCGCAAATGTCCCGATTGTGATGCAGGTCTGGAGTTATTATAATCCCTCACATCGAGCCCGATGATGCCAAATTTTCCGATTTGTCCCGGTTCCTCCGGATATTTATGAATGAAAAGCCGTTAAATTTCATTTAAAATTTCATTCATTGCAAACAAAAATTTATTTTCTCGTCAAATCAAAAAGCAAACGTACGAACGAACGTGTGCCAATACATCTTCTTCCCTCTATTCTTTTACCGCGTAAAAATTTTGATGCCCACGTGATCATTTGTTTTTTTTTTTTTTCTTTCTAAAACCACGTAGAATTTAAAAGAGGTTCGCGTTGCTAACACTAATTCCGTTAAAAATGGCATTTCAATGGTACGATCTTGATTACATGTCGTGACGCACGTTAACAAAAAAAAAATTGAAATTACTTGGAAATAAATTTTGAAAAGTGGTAGCAGAAAAAAGGGTTTTTTGATTTTTTTTTTTTATATCATTTCGGAAATGCCTGTCTACTATTATACTACCTGTTACAATTCGTACGCAATTCAAATAATTATTTTCAATGATGTACGTAAAAAAAAAAAAAAAAAAAAAAATTTTTTTTTCCATTCGTGGAAATAGTAAGAAAAGAAGAAAAGATTTTTTTAGCACTCGAAAGAATAATTACAGCTTTCTATTTGTTTGTTTGTTTGTTTGTTTGTTTGTTTGTTGTTGTTGTTGTACGAGAAAGACGTTGCTTGGTTGTTCGCGATGCGCTCGTATAATTTTTTAATAAGAAAAAAAAAATATTAATTACGTTACGAGTTCTGCGAATTTTTCAAACATGGCGAGATTTTTAAATTTTCCATACTTTGGATGGATGCCTTCCGGTGTAGGTGCGTGCGCATGCGCGGGTGAATTCTAAATTATTTTATTCGTTTTATTATTATTATTATTATCATTATTATTGTAATTTTACTAAAATAGAACAGGCATTTCCGATAATTACACCTCGAGCTGTGTGTATTAGAAAAATATTTATCGGTGACGTTTTGAGAAAATATTTTGATTGCCCCCTTTCCCCATCTTTCCCTCTCCTTCCCTTTCCCGTCGGATATGCAGTTTCAATGAAATTTTTTTTCTTCTTTCCATTTCGGGCGAATTTTCCGACTTTTTTTTTTTTTTTTGCTTGATTTATTGCTGGGGATACAGTCGATCGACCTTCAAAGGACTAAATGCAAAAACGTGCCTAGATTTTTCCGATTGTTTTTTTTTTTTTTTTTTTCTACGTCGACCTTTTGGTATGAGTTTCTTGTTTTTTTTTTTTTTTTTTTGCAACTAAAATATTTACGGATTCCAGTATTTTCCTTTTTACCAAAGGTCGATTTTCCTCAAAAAGTAAAAAAAAATTTATCGAAAGGTGAGTAGAAGGGAAGGTCGAGGAAGTTTAAAGTCTAGACATGGAACGGGGGAGTCAAAAAAAAAAAAAAAAAAATTTTTTTCGTGATCTAAGATTCGATGATGGATTTAGGTAGGGAAAAAGCAGGGAAAATTCGTCAGAAACAGGGTTGCCAAAACCAAAAAAAAAAAAAAAGAAAGAAAAATTTTTGATTCAAATAACTCAAGGATTTGTCCCGTTCGAAATTTTTTATTTTATTCGCGACCAATTAATTTAGTTTTTTTTTTCGGGGGGGGGGGAGTGGGGGGCTCGCGAAATTATCTGAAACGTTTGCAATCCTTATTTTTCAAACGAATCGAACGGAATCTTTCGTATATTTCCCGAAAACTTGTCCATTTTGTTTTTTTTTTTCTCTAGAGGTCAAAGGTTAATATTATAAAATCTATAAATGTTTAGTTTTTCCTTTTTCTCTTTTCTTATTTTCTTTCGGTTAAAGCCAAAAAAAAAAAAATATTTAATCGAACGGACAAATTAAAAAAGAAAAAAAAAAGTCGTTAAGAATCCTTACAAACATTAAAAATAATTGATTCTTTTTTTTTTTTTTTTTTTAATTTGTTTCGCAAAAAAAAATTAATTAATTTAATTAATTTGTTTTTGTTTTTTTTTTTTTTTTGAGTTTTCCGAAAACTCGAATTGCGAATTTGGGAAAATTGAAAAATTTCAAATTAAAAAAAAAACAAAATTTTAATTTTTCCATCGGGATAATCAAGTTTTCAATTAACGGTTTTCCAAGTTTTTTTTTTTTTTTTTTTTATTTCCAATTGAGTTCGATGGAGGAGTTTTTTTTTTTTTTTTTTAACCTTTTCGATTTTCCTACACGATTATTATCATTATCATTATTATTATTATTATTAAACACCGAATTAAAATATTCGTTTAAAGTCATACGTAGTAAGTATCTTTGAACTTTACCGTTTAATTCGCATAAATCATATTTCGATCGATCAAGGGCAGATTTTTTTTCTTTTTTCCTCCCTCCCCCTCCCCCTCTTCTTCCCCTTCATTAACGTTAACAAATAAAAATTGTTTTTTTTTTTTTTTTTTTGCCTACCCAAAAAAAGAATGAAAATTTTTCATCAAAGATGGATGACTACTAATTTGTTTAAAAAAAAAAAGAAACTCCTGTCACACTTTTATTTATATACATTTAAGTGCGATCCAAGAAATTTAAATTTACGCCGTCATTTTTTTTCTCAAAGGAAAATTTTGGCATCCACAATAATCGAACAATAATGAAAAAAAGGAAAAATGATTTTTTTTTTTTTTTTCGAAATTGAAAGTTTTTCTATTCCCACGTTTCCGTTTCGAGAAAAAAAATAATAATTCATTCATTCATTCATTCATTCATTCACTGTTTGTTTGTTGTTTTTCGGAAATTTATTAATTTATCCTTTGCCAATTAATTAATTATTTATTTCAAAGAAATAATATTTATTTGCCAACCGTCAATAACTTGCGTGCGCCATTTTGTTTTTTGCATAAGAATAAAAACGTGTTGCACCTACGTGGAAGAAAATTAAAGAAAAAAAAAAAAAAACAAAAAAAAAAAACAAAATGTCCGTGGTCATGGTTGAAAAATCTTGTAAATTTTCTGGGAAGATTATTATTATTTTGCTATTAATTTTAATACGCGGAATGATTTTGAATGAATGAATGAATTTGTTGAACTTTCATTAACCGTTTTAAAATTTTTTTTTTTTTGGTTTTTAAAATCTTTTTTGCTTATGGCGCGGTCACTCCAGTTTTTCTTCAATTTCTTAGAATCGTGAGTTTATTTTTAATTTAAATGCTTTCTCTCTCTCTCTCTCTCTCTCTCTCTCTCTTTAGTATTTTACAATCAAACGTTTGTGTTTGTTTTGTGTT